TATTCGACATTTTCGCACCGACCCGAAAAGCTGTACGATAACTTATCAGCTTCTTCAAGGAAATATAAATAAATCGCTTAATTTAAATATCAAACCACCGGCTAATAACCTTTTAGTTAGTACCGTATATCAATGAAAAAAATAAAAAAATCTTATTACATATTACAGGTTAACTCTTTGAGGGGCGAAAATTTTCTTTGGAAAAAATACCCATTTGGGCAATATGTGTAAAAATTAATTTTTTTTAATTTTTTTTTTTTTAATGCTTTTAGTCTGGTATTTAACTAAAATATTGTTGACTAAATTTTTTTTGAGTTAGCAGTTTTTCCGGAAAAACTTTGGAAAAGGTGGTCTTTATAGTGACCACCACCAAAATAAAAGGCTTTTTTGAATAAAATGTTATAAAATCCAAAATATACTTAGTAACTTTAATAACTAATTAGGTATATGAGTACCATAAGAAGGATATAAGAAAATATTGTGATATTGTTTGATATATGTATAAGCTGATAATAAGGTTGTTGGTATACTGACCACTGTCAAAAAAATAATAAAAATAATTTAAAAGGTGGTTAATATAGTTACCACCGCACTTGAAAGGTAAAAAAAAAAGTGGTTAGCATACTAACCACTGACCCTCAAAGAGTTAAACATAAATCATACTCAGTGTTGTATAAAGTTTTTATTTTAAGTATTTGAACTCCAATCATATATCATAAATTTTTTATATATGATTGACAAATGTTGTGTGAGGATCTATTTACCACCGATATGATGCGTGCGTACCGTCTAAAGTTTACCGTTTAAACATTAAACGCACCACTTGATCACAACACGTCTACCATCTTATAATGTATCATACGGAGCTTGTAAATCAAAATCATTTTGGCGCCGTATTTCCACTAATACAGTTATGTGGTTACGAAAAACACACTCCTCGTTCCGCTTAGAACCATAGGTGGAATCAAGTTAGATTCGATGTTTTTAGATTGAATAAATTTGAAAATTAGACCACACGAATAATATGATTTTGTACATTGTATATTTATTTATTGATCCATTTATTTTTACGGGTTCAATAGGTTGTCTTAAAATATGTGCTTTCCAATCTCTTTACTGTAATCATTGGCACATAATGTTTTGGTATCCGGTATCCGGTTATTTGTTATTGTTTTGTTTTAAAACGAAAATTAGGTATGCAATCTAATTTACTCAACATAGTCGTGTGCCGTATTTACCTGTACACTTTACCTCGTGTTCGACGACTTGAATTATTCCATATAATATTAGGTTCGCAATAATAATGCAACACGCGTGGTAACATTGCTATGTAAAAACCAGAGCTCGTAAGTTCATGCACTAAAAATAGAGTATGTAAAATAAAATAAATGCATAAATAAGCATGTAATAATACACTTACATTTGATAAAATATGCATTTATATGCATTAAAAATCTTAAACTATGCACGAAAAAAAATATATAAGTATTTTTTAAAATAATATGAATTATACATTCATATTTTTATGTTACATTTTATTTCTTCGATTATATTTCATTAAAATATAAAATATAATTAACGGGACTTATCCTAGTTGGGTTCCAGATAATATTTATTATAAAGATAAACAACTAATTGGGTTTGATTATAAAAACGATAAAATTCTAGTTCGTCCGACCACTCCGATAATAAACGCCATAACTTACAAGTATTGATATACTGAATATTGTTAAATAATAAATAGATTTTAATTTGTAAAAGCTTTATGGTTTAGACTATTACTAATTGTGTACATTATTAAGTGAAATAAGAATGAATTCAAGCATTTATTAATCTAATTTATTTTTTTTACTTCCACGAAAAACGATTTTGTTGAATATGCGTTAATAACTCAAAAAATCAACTATATTCCAAATATACCAATGCATACAAAACATGTAAAAACATGGTCCGTTAAAATTTAGATTTTTATTACTATTGTTGTGAAACGGATTTGTATCACACCTAGCATGTTTTTCGATGTAGCAAAAAAAAAAAAAAAAAAATGAACTTACGAGCCCTGGTAACAACCAACACGTTATTAAAGTGTATCGTCGTTTATTTTAGATACACCATTCAATTGTTAAGCTCGATGGTGGCTACGTCGACGCATTCATTAGACGTTGCTGTAATCGTTTGCGTTCAACTTGATAAAAATACATTTTAATTACAACTACATAAAAATGATTCTATCGTTGAGAATCAATTCGAAGAACGTAAATGGTAACAGCAACGGCTGGTGACTCGATTCTCGTAGATGCTACCATTTTTAACAATAGGATGTCGTATCTGTTTATTACAAAATCAATGAGTACACGTACGGCTCGAATTGAAAAGCAGAATATCAAAATCGATAAAAACAAAAAGGTTTTCTTTAGTTTATTCTCTAGACGATCGTTATGTGTTTGATAAAACGAATGGAAATTGGTAGTTATAGTATAGCGGTTCGCTTCGCGTCACTTTTTTTGAACAAATCGATCGAGATTAACTCTGTAGCGTTCAACATTTACGAAGCAGTTCTTTTGAATCAACGTTTAACTAAAAATATTAATACGTTAATACATATAATTTAAATTTAGCCATCAATAAAGCTTACGTTGATAGTGATATTACATAATAGTTGTCACAAGGTTAAGTTAATTAAAATAATATTAGAATTAAAAACGGAAAAAAATATGGACCAAATAATTTAATCGATTTTGGAGAGTTAACTACAAAATATTAAAAATGATTTATCAACCACGATTTTCAGCAAAGCATATAACAATAATAATAATATTAATAATCGGAGAACCGAAACTTAAAGTACGTGATGATAGGTGTTCTATGAGGCTGCACATTAATCGGTTAAAAAATGTAATTTATTTCATTACAAATTATGCCATGATCCTCGATAATGTTTATGTGTTATTGTGATTGCTCGAGGGCCAAAAACTACAATGAAATAATATATAATAGCGTTGTATTATGTACTAGAAATTAGTGATTGGATGAAATTGTTTTTGTTAATTTTATTTCTTTCATAACTCTGATAGCCGTGATTATGTTCTTATTAGTTGAAATCGAACGTACATAGGTGTGTTATACAATACGTGGATTTAACTAATTTAATATTTTTATTGATTTGTATTAACTCGTATGTATTCTTGAAGTGTTCTCTGAAATTGTGTAGACGTGTTAAATTTTCAAAAGGCTCTTAATATAATAGGTGGTCGTAAATCATTATCTTTCTAACACAATAACTCTTATCATAACGACATTTTTTTTTCAATCAGAAACAACTGTTTCACAATATACCATGATTGGTCTGAAAACAACTACTGCTGTTGTTACTTACATGGACAACCTATAGGACAAGGTCCGCAGAAATAAGAGTTTCACTTGAATATACAGCGTGGTTCAAAATTTCGTAGCTCATAATTTTCGCATGGCTCAGAAAATATTGCTACAGCACTGCGTTTTAAATATTAAAATAGAAAGAGAATTGAAAAAAAATTATCCATAAAAAATATTCGAGATAGTGTTATTATCCCATGCGTGATGAAATAATATGAAAGGAACGATATTAGATGTAAAAAATACTCCGTTTCCTTTTTCCTTCGGTCATATAAAATATTTAAATAATTTTTTTTTTTTTACAAAGTCATCGGGTTTAATAATCATCAATTGCTGCCTTTGAGTCCTGGTCACACACATCAAAGCATAAATATATTATTCCTATCTGTATACCTATTTGAAATAATCCCTGGCGAACTCGGGGTCAAATGTGATCTATAGGAGTTTCATTCGATTAAAGGTTTTGAAAAAAATCGCAATGTTAAATATATGTTCAATTTTATATATACATCTGGCTCCATCCACCTTCATCGAGGGTTATCTTCTCTTTTTTTTAAAAAAAAAACGCGGAGATCAAATATTTGCAACATCTTTCTGTCCGTCCGTTGCATATCTTACGGGCGTTTACCTATTACGTTGTTAGACACGAATACGAGCCAAAATCGATATCATAGTTGAACCACGATGTGTTTTGCTACCGTTTTAACAGCACACGTGTTTCATGATAACTCTTAATATAATTGAGTTAAAATAGAATTAAAATCTAATTAAAGTCGGACAATTTAGGTACATGATATAAAGGACCTGTATTTTTACTGATGTTGCTCGAATCAAATGTAATTTATTGAAAAATATTTAGCAAAAATAAATTACGTTTCGTAATAGAAAAGATAATTATCAATAACGTTTTGAATGTTAGTGCAAAAACTTATAACGATAATGTAACAGCTACAGCCGTCTACAGAAGTACGAACTATAAACAATCGAAACTATCTGAGAAAAACATACGAAATTTAAGGAAAACGTGTTCGTTAGTACTAACATAAATTTTAAACGAAAAATTAAAATGTTGATGTATAATCGTTCACGTGTTAAAATGTATTAAACACACAACCTGCACGTTTCGTTAAGATAGAGCCCAGAAATATTGTGGACGACCGCTGAAACACAAGTGTGCGCAATGCCGACCCGACTAACCGGTACAAAATTTTGCGGGGCCCCAATTATATAAATATTTATTTATTAATTTTTTATAGAAATCTATGTTTGTCCATGTTATTATCTAACTAAATATATACTATAAATATATTTCGAACTGTCGTCGACGATAAATATTTTTACAAGTGCATGCGCGATTACAATACTTCAAAGCTATGCGTAATTGGTGGGTACCGTCTTAATTTTCGTCGATAACAATCTGTTTCCTGACCACATGACCACGCGGGTTGCGATTTGCGTACTTGAACTATATTATTTTTATACCTAGATATTCGTCATACATAATTTTTGGGGCGCCATACAAGCGCGGACCCGGTGCGATCACTCTGCTTGCCCCCCCCCCCCCCCTATAGGTCCCGCACTGGGTCACAGGCCAGGCGATGTACACGTTCGAAAGATTCACTTACCGCTTAGCCTGAGCTCGGCGAATGAATGGGCCGCATCGTTGTTCAATTTGTTGGTCACCACGCACTGGTACATGCCCTGGTCGTCCTTCTGCACGGAGTCCACGTTCAGCGTGTACGTGGGCGGTGTGGATGAACTGGACTGCCGGGGAACGCCGTCTTTCAGCCAGGTCACGACTTGCTGCAACGCAAAGAAAAGAATTAAAAAAAAAAAAAAAAAATTGCGTTTAACATCGATCGCTGTAAAAACCGAAACAGCGATACCCATAACACGGTCGCGAGTCTGTTCAACGGACTCGACGGTTTTTCTGATTCGTCGAACATAAATGTCGTTGAAAATAAATACTATTTTTCGATTGTGGTGTCCACGCGTACTCGTTCTACCAGTAATCCCGAAATCAGGAGAAAAAAAACCGTCTAATTTTACCTACGATACACTTTTCGACAAACGTCTGCGATACAAACTGTACAATGCTTACACTTTGGCCCAATTGATGCGATAATATATAAATGATTATCTACATAGAGAATTGGGAACACACGACAAGTTATACCATGTCGACGTACCAGCGTACTACGTATTTTAATGTTCTACAAGTCATTGATTCACGCGCGATTTGGTTTTATACTGTATTATAAACGAACTCGAACCGACCGTTTTCATCGGAGTATTATTTTTGACGAACAAAGGCGTGTAAATTCTTTTAAACGCAAACAGATGTTACCTCAAAACATCAACACGCACATCCATAGATACTATATTCGATGATATTCTAACCGATACGAAAACGAATTTTTTAGCTTAGAAATAATAAAAATAAAAGAAACAATGTATACCGTAATTCAATATTATTTTTGAGTAGATCACGTACTGCTAAAAACGAGTTTGGTATATCGCGTACGACGTCATTACCATTTTCTCTCCCAACACGTCCTTACATTTATTATAATCCAAGACGAATGTTGTCGAAAGCGACGAGTTTTATGTTGTTTCCGAAACTTTATTATCCCATGCTTCAGAAAGCTCCAAAGGACGAATAATATCATAAAATACTAACATATAAAACGTATTTGTCAATTCGCATTTTTTTTTCTGAGATAAATAGAAACGTTTTTGATGAAAATGTTATCGTTACGTAAAGAGTTTCGGGCCAAACATACGTTTGAACCGTGAAACGAAATATCATACTCTTGTAAGTTCATATATCGTGTTGCCATCGCCATTCGTACGACATCGACTACGATAATTGAACGTAAGGGAAGCTGCACACTCGACTCGAAATCAAATTACCCATGTCGATTACGCGCACACGGATAAAGTTCGTCGCGAACAAAAGACCGGGTAACGATGACGACTGCAACTTCGGACCGTCAACGAAGTTTTCACCGTACACACATAGATAGATTCGCAGCCCGTACGATTACGAACGCTCTCGGTTCTGCGTAATGTATTCAATTTCACGCCTTCCATCGAAGTCGGTTGCACGTTTACGCGAATGGCCCCACAATTGTACACGCATCCCTTCCGGAAGACTTTTTCCGCGTACACGGTTCGGTGCACTCGATTTGTTCCCATTCAGTGGATTGTTGCACGGTGGTTACGACGAACGTGGAAAAAACTGCAACCATCGGTCACAGTCACCACCGACAGTCTGCCACGTCCTTAACCACATCGTTATTAGCTGTATGCGTAGCGTAGTCCCCGATCTAATTTTTTTTTTCTTTTTCTCAAGTAATTTACGAACACAGTTTTGTTGTAAATATGAAATTCACTTGCACCATAACGATTGTTACGATTCTAATTTTTACAGATTTTCCCGTGATACGCACCGTTATGCATTTCGTCTTGTGCATAAATATTTTTTATGTTGCGTTACCTTTGATTATGTCTACTAATATGTTTACGATAGAGTTATTTAATATAATCCTTTCGATATAGCTAAATGAACACTCTCTGCTCTAGATACCCCAAAGTTTCCTAATTAATATTTATATCAATGCACCGGGATACCAAAGGCTCATCAATATCACAAAATATATAATTATCAAATGAGCAACACGATGATGTTTTTTACTTAAGTATAAAATATTGAAAATTAATACAAATGATTATCGGACCACAGCATTTAATAATGGTGGTCCGAACGACAATCAGAGATAACGCGCACGACGTACTTGATATTGTTCGGACTTTAAGCCACTCGCTCTAATATAGTAATTCGTCAACTGTTGCTCTTCGTGTTTTAATTGACCACCAACATCGTAAGCTCCCTCAGTCGTGCAATAATATATAATATATATTAATAATATATTCAAATTTGGTTAAAAAACGCAGAAGTATAAGGTTTGCATAAAGCAGCCGTAACATTACTATACACAAAATAATAATAAAAGCTATTGTCTCTAAATGTATACGTAATCGGATTTGACTGTAATACAGTAATGCATTGCCAGGTTTTGTCTCACAATAAGTAGCAACCATTTTATATCCATGGACTCGACGGAAATGTACTTCAAAGGATATCATTAAAAATAATAATAATACAATACATTACAATACACGTATAATAAGGTAAATTGATTACGAGATCATAAGTATATATTCCCTAAAAATATCTTTAACCCTTAAATACAAACAAATTATTTCAAGTAAAGAAGTAAAGAATATATTTAACGGTAATGCTAGTCGATCGATTTTAAAAATATCCGAATCAGCCTAACAGATTTTCTTCCCTTTGTTTTACACTAATGGATCAAAACTATATATAAGTACCTAATCATTAATTAATATTTTTCCCCAGAACCTCGTTGACGTGACTGTAGATGATGAAATTATCATGTTATAGCTCTGGAAAACATTTTAGTTGACTAAACGTCAGATTTGATTTTAACTTCAGGCGTCGTCCTAAATATTCCGTAGTTCGTGAATTACGAAATACATTGAAACGAGATATTTAATAAACGTTTGATTGTCCTTCCTACGTGCGTTTTGATCGTTTCATTTACACAGTGAATAATTTATAAACATCTTAGTGGGTGGAGGATAGTGGTGTTCATCTGGTCCATCAAAGATAAATAATTTACCCAAATCAAAAGCATATGCACGCTAATTTTTCAGAGATAACACACAAAAATGGAGGACAAAATCGACACAAAAGGTACACCACATGTAAAAGCGGTTCACGTTATACACTATTACATAGTATAGTACTACATTATAGTATTATTATTGTAACATTATTCGAATGATAATGGTAATAGCACAGGTGATAATAAACAAATAACAATAAAAATCAAGGCCGATCGACACAATAAATTTAAACAAATAAATGATTATAACATCCCAAGGGATATAAATACAAGTAGTATGTGTGTAAACTTATTACATATAAGACTATTACGTATTAAACAGACATATATGTTATATAGATTATGACTTTGATAGAGTGTTTTATGTACTCGCAATAATAAAATTATACTTAGGGCTGCACTGTTTTTAGAAAAAATCGATCAATTAAATTTGTTTGTGATTATCGGTAAAATTGTCAATGGCGTGGAGAAAAATTTCTTTTGAAATTTACAAACGACTTACATATGTTCGAATTATAATTAATCCAATAAAATTCAATTGATTGCATTTAAGAAATTAGCGGAATACCGGTCAAATTAATTTTTTTTAACTGGGATAAGATGAACGGAGTATCTTTTTTACCTAGAACTACACGTGAGCACTTTCAAACTAATATTTTGTAAAAATTCAGGACAATAAATAACTTGTTAAAAAATAATATGAAAAAAAATGACATCGGAAATCATTCATTGATAATGATCTCAAACCCATATTATTTTTTAAGGAAATTTACTTTCCCATTGGTGTTGGTGAAGTTTAACAATTTATCCCTGGTACATAAGAAATTATGAAGAATAATAAGGATCCATCCTAGGGCCGACGGAAAGGTACGTATAGTCACGAAGTCACTCCAAACACATAGCGATAAATTTAAACTTGCGGTAAGAAATAAATGCCCTTTACCATTTGAAGGGAATTCTAATGTAAAATAATAAAAATTCTCATTTCTTTGATTCATTATTTTATTCAAATTAATCTGATTGTGTTATTTATTATATTAATAATATTTTAATTTATTCAAAAATTGTACTATTTCCTTTATGCTATCCTTTTGTGGTATTATTTTGATTATATTTAATATATTTAATTATGTATGGCTATTATCATTATTTATATATAATTATCACACATCATATTTTATTATTAATATTTGAATTATGATACCAGGTCATTGAAACCCTATATTTGTACTTGAATTTTCAATTTTTTATTTTCATTGTAAAAGGTTTCAAGGCGAGCGGTATGTTCGGAATTTAATGATTTTTTTTGATTATATGTACAGACTATATCCTTCTTATCGCATGATTAAAGCATGTAAAATAAAAAGTTTTAATAATTATTCATATTAAAAAAAGGAAACCTAGTCTTGGCTTGGAGCAAAAATTCCGTGAAACATCAGTTCAAATCAGAAACGTATAGTAACAGCGCAATCGCTTGGAGTTATTGTCACAGGCGAATTACTCGAAAATTTTGAGGAACGCGCAAGGACGCGGAAAGCTGAATTTAAATAAACCGAAAAAGCGTGTAAGCCGATTATTTCACCTCTCTCAGCATTGCCAATACTGATCATTGTTACATGTTGTAGTTTGTCCTTATTACTTTCGATTTAACGTGTACACAAGAGCGAAACTCGTTACTCCGGTGACGTCTCCGTCTTTCCTGTCACAGTACATACACCATAGTCACCTCGTACATAATAATATAAGCGTGTGCTAGCTGCCGTAAACAAATATGGACATCTCCCATCTTTTATATGTTCCATTCGTATAAATCGAATCCTATTTCGCAAATCTGACGTATTTCCGCACTGCTCGAAGACGTATAATGATATTTATTTTTATCGTTATACAGAGCATATATTTTATTGCATACGAGCAGAGTAATCAAAACACGAGCGCATGAAAGAAAATGACTTTTTACGGTGCTGTTTACCCAACGTAGGCACGAACGTGCGCGTCACAAACGTTTGATTTATTAAAAATTGAACTTTTTTCGATTAATCACTATTGTTGTGTTGAGCCGGTATTTACTTAACGGTAAAGTTGGAGTAC